GCTGACGAATGACTGACGGAATGAAGCCCAGAAAGCACGCTCTTTGATTTTTAAAAGACCTCCCCCAGAGTCAGTGAGACTCTTACAGTTGGTGAGGCAGGCCTGTGCCTTCTCCTTGGCTCTCCCCATCCTGCCCCCTCGTGGCTCCTGGAGGATTCTGATTCAGACACAGATTTCTCCAATTCAAGCCATTTTCCAGTCCGACACTCCGTGGCTGTGACGCCCACACCTCTAGGTCTGAATTTCTGTTTTCAGCTTTTACTCCCTGTATTAGTTTCTTATGGCTGCTGTAACAAATTACGCATACTTAGTGGCTTAAAACAACACATGTTTATTATCTGGGGGTCAAATCTGAAATGGGTGTTAAGGGGTTAAAAACCAAAGTCAGCAGGGCTGTCCCTGTTCCTTTCTGGAGTCTCCAGGGCAGAGGCCACTCCTCATCTTCTCCAGTTTAGAGGCTGCCAGCAATTCTTGACTCGTGGTGCTGTCATTCCAACTCCTGCTTCTGTCGTCACATGGTCTTTCACTGAATGATCTTCCTGCCTCCCTCCTATATGGACCCGAATACTGAGGCCACCTGGACATTCCAGGACAATCTCCATATCTCATGGTCTTTAACCTCATCACATCTGAAAAGTCCTTTAACACATTCATAGGTTTGGGGGTTAGGATGTGAACATCTCTGGGGCCCCATGACTCTGCCACACAGCCCACCCCATGGCTGGCACAGAGGATCTCCTAAGCATTCTGAACAATGTGGTGGGTGTGGCATGACCAGAAGGAGGGAGTCTGTCTGGTGCCTGCTCCCTATGAACTTCGGTCTGACCCTGGAGCCTACAAAGATGGTGATCGTGGGTCAGTGCTATTGGAGTGACTGCAAAGTTGGTTTCTGATTGGCCCACTGGGAACCACTGGGTCACTGTTGGGTGATGGGGTTCTAGGATTTTGCCCCACTAACCTGACCACAGGCCTTTGTCTCAAAGAGCTAAAAAAGAAATCTCTAAAGCAGAAAGTCATTGCTCTGGCAGTCTATCTTGAGCCCCCACTGCTTATAGTTATCTTTGAACAGCAGCCACTGTGGGGAATGGAAGATGATCAGGCTGGGGGTGGCTGATGGAATGACATAGTAAGAGGTTCTGAGGAGAGGCAGATTTGGCCAGCGATGCAAGAAAATAAAGCGCTCTGAGATCTCATTCTCTCCCAACTTTATTTTGCTGAAACCTACATGCAGCCCTGCCACAACCCTAGGCTTTACGGCTGGTTGGTCCCTACTCCAAACACAGGAGGTGGCCCTTGTCCTCTTGGAAGAAATAGAATGATGCTCGGGACCTGTGGCAGACCTGTCACTGTGGCCGGGCTGGCTGGCGCTGTGGCTGTCTTGGCGTGGGCACGCTGGCAGACAAATGCTGATGCCATTTCAAAGAACCGCGCCTCCAGGTGCTGAGGGCGGCTTTTCTGATGCTCACGCTGTGTCATTGTTCATTTTTGCAAGGCGCCCAGCTGTTGCAGTGATGATATTTATATCAATAAGTGCTCTGTTCATCTGCCGATTTCAGGGGATGCTTGCCAGCTGCATATGGCAGCCAACCTCACGGCACTTCTGAGCCTGATGTTTTTGCATTTCGAGAATGAATTCTCCAAGGCTGTATCACTGTCTGGGGCTGAAAGATCTTCATCCACTCAGCCCACCCTGAAAGAGGGAGCCAAAGCCCACGGCCTTGACCCTTGCTTCCCTATACATCCCAAAGTGAGTTTTGTTGAAACTCCACCTCTGTGCCCGAGCTCTGGGTTTGCAGAAAAGGGACGTTCGAAAGAGGAACAGCAAACGGGCTTTCACAGGCTCTGCCTCCCTCATGGGCTCCACTGCAGAGTTCACTCTTTTACTTTTTCAGGCAATGGAAGAAGGTGGCAATGTCATCTGAGTCTGGAACTCTGCTGGGGTGTCTGTTTTATGGGAAGCTGCTTAATTTTTACAGTTATCTCAGATTCCAGCTGCCCACTGTTTGGGTCCCAGACCTTGGAGTCATCCCTTTTCCCCCTCAATTCTGTATTTAATCTGGCAGGATATTTTGCTGGGCCTACCTCAGGAGAGATGCAGAATCCACTCCATCGCTACCTCCTATGTCAAGCCCCCGTCACTTGTCACCCGAATCAGTCAGGAGCCTCCTCTCTGCTCTCTTTGCTTCCACTCTAAGCAGCCTCTACCTTGCCAACTCCCTATGCCTCGCCAACAGTCTGTCCTCAACACAGTTGCCAGAGGGGTGCTTTTTAAGAAAGTCACATCATGTCATTCCTGTCCTCCAAACCTCTCAACGGCTCCCCTTTCCTCTCAGAGTAAAACCCCAACTTCTTCCCCTGACCCCCAAGGCCTTCCATGACCTGGCCCTGTGCATCCCTGTGTTACCTTCTGCTGCTGGCCCCATACTTGCTCTGCTCCAGGCACAGTGGCCCCTCTGCTGGTCCTCAAATGTGCCAGGTGTGTGCCCACCATGAGGCCTTGATGTGGGCTGTCCCCACCGCCTGGGAGGCTCTACCCTGAGATGGTCACATGGCCCGCTCTGTCACCTCCTTCAAATCTGTGCTCACAAACCACCTTCTGGGTAGGGCCTGCCTGGATCACTCCATGGCAGTTCTATCCTGTGCCCCAACCCAGCCTTCCAGTCCTCATCACCCGGCCCTTGGATTTGTCTTTCTCTACACACTTGTCACCTTTTAACATATAATTAAGTACATTACAGAGCATTTGTTGTTTATTATCTCCCATGCTTCAGAGTAGAAGTTGTATGAGAAATAGAAATTTTCTGTTTTGCTTTCTCTGTCTCGTTCCCTAAAGCATCCCAAGCATGTAGAATAGATTCTGGCAAATAGCAGAGACCCGACCATATGGCTGAATGAGTGATTAGAATCTCCTGAATGTCTCTTACACGCACATCCCAAGCTGCACTCCATTTCATCCCATATAATCTGCTCTTCTTCCTGCCTTCCCAACCTTGCTGCTTCCTCTCCTCCCCTTCCTGCCCTTTCCCCGTGGCTCCCACATCCCAGAAGCCCAGTTGCCCAGGCTAGCCCCTGCCTCCACGCACTTCTCCTTCTCACTCACCTCCCACATTCAACTGCTCCCCAAACCATGGACTCCGACTTCAGAGATGTTTTTTTCACTGCAGCCCCCATGCCCCACCTCCAGCTACCTCCTCAGTTCACATCCTCACCTTTATTTTCTTCACATTTGCAACATTTACCATGGACTCCGACTTCAGAGATGTTTTTTTCACTGCAGCCCCCATGCCCCACCTCCAGCTACCTCCTCAGTTCACATCCTCACCTTTATTTTCTTCACATTTGCAACATTTCCTCCCCAGTCTCCTGGTTTCTGGATTTTTGCTCCAGCTTTTCCTCCACACTGGTCCCCGGGCTCAGCTTCCTAACAGGCACTGGGCCACAACGCCGCTCTGGGTCTCTCCCTGTACCCGAGTATTCCCTAACTGTGCTCCTAGAAACCCCAGGGGTTCACAGAGGTATCCAGAGTGGTGACCATTCGAGGGCTATCAGGAGGAGCCGGGAGACCCATCTGGGAGGGTCTCCAGCCCCAAGCCCCTGAGATGGGTCTCCAGCTCCAAGCCCCAGCCCCACGCAGCTTCAACACGAGCCGCCCTCGGCCTTATCTGTTTCACACGCTGGGCTTGGGAGAAAGCTTTTATTCTAAGAAAGGATTCTGTTGCTTATAAAGTCATACTTACATGACTCTTACCAGGCTGCTGGCCAAGGCCCTTTAGCCTGGCATGGGCAGCCCTCTGCAAGTGGCCCTGCTGCATGTTCCGGTCTCACCTGCCTCTTCTCCTGACGGACTCCAAGCCCCAGCCATGCAGCAACCGAGGCTGTCCTGCACACGCACTTACACACGTATGCACACTCAACCCACCTTGCCTGTGCCCCTGCTGTTCACTCTGCTTGGAATGCCTTTTCCCAGTCACTTCATCCCCCACACGCCCAAACCTCTGCTGCCTTCTTCAAGGCCAAAGTCACCTTCTCTTTGAAATCTTCCCTCGCCTTCTGGGCAGAATTAGTTGCTCCCTGTTCCCGGCCAGCACAGCTCTCCGCTGCTGACCTCTATTTAGAGTGCGGCTGCATAAGGTTGGGACAATTTGCTCATTCATCTCTGCAGCAAGACTGGGAGTTCCTGGAGGGCTGAAACTACAGCTCAGATCTGTTTTTTCATTCCCGCAAAAGGCCTACACAAGGCCAGTGTCTACACTGGGAGGTGCTGAGTTACTCTGAGTTTCCCTCAAGACAATGAAAGGACTATTTTTCACAAACCTGAAGGGCCATTCTCACCTTCTCCACCCAGGAATGCTGCCCTGCCAGGGGGTGTGGGCTCCAGAAGCTATCCCATGACACGTGTCCTTTGCCTTGAGTGGCTGTGCTGGAGGCCCAATGTGCTTGCAGCTGTCAGGCCCTGAGGAGCTAAGGCATGAAGCCTGGGGGACCCAAGGGTCATCTGTGGGCTGTCGTGGGCAAAGGGTCCAAGGTGCATGTCCCAGGTTCTGGCAGAGCCAGCTGCATCTCAGGGGACGGGGCAGGTGGGTGTGGGCAGGCATCAGGATACGCTGCAGGGCTGGGGATGCTTGCAGCAGGGGGAGGCAGCCTCCCAGCTCAGTGAGCTCTGTGAGATTTGGAGCAAGCCCCTCATCAGAGCTTGGAGGATGGAGCAATAAAGCCTGGCCCTGGACAGGGGGTCGGGAGGGGGACTGGGCAGAGGGGTAGAGGGGTTACTGCTGGAAATGGGAGGGTCTGGGGTTGCCAGGGCCTGGCAGGAGACTCCTGACCTCTGCTGGTAGCATAATGGTCTTGCTTGCTACTCACAGCCAGATGGTGCCCATCAGAGGGCAGCTGGGTTGGGCAGAGGTGACAGTGCACTGGCTCTCAAAGGGGTTCCTCCAACCCTTGGGTGCAGCTGTCCTAATGCACCTGGGTACCTAGGGCAGTGGCCAGGCCTCTCCTACCTGAGCAGTGTCCATCTCATTCAGCATCACCACGGAGGAGCAGTTATAATCGAACACCAGCCTCCAGAAGTCTGCCACGGTGTTGGGTAGAGGATGCTGGGTGACCACAAAGGCGGCAGGCTGCTTGTGGCTCTGACAAAGGAATGACACAGGCTTGGTAAAATACATATCCATCAGCGGTGTTCTGATGAGGAGGAGGCCCAGAAGGCTGCCAGAGGCCCCAGAGCCTGCAAAATAGATTACCCGCAGCATCTGCCCATACTGTGATCTCCGGGTGCCTGTGGCAAAGGGGACCTTCTCATAATGAACTCATTCTCCTACAAACTAAGACATTTCATTAGGAAAGTGTCACTTGGATAGGGATTATCCAAATAAATTATTTATGTCTTGGAGCTCAGCAAACAATCATCATGACAATATGAAATGAAAGATTCTGGGTGGGAGTCACTGCTCTGTGGGCTGAGGCACCTTTTGGGATATGAGGGATATCTGTATCCTGGGCCCACGGTGCTGCAGGAGGGGTCAGCTGGATTCCAGGCAGAGAGCCTCCAGAAGAAGCGATAGGAGGTTCAGGCCCTCAGCTCTACCCTTTCTAAGGTAGTTGAACTGCAGGTAGTCACGGAAATAGCCTGACCGTCAGGATCTCATCTGGAAAATGGGGATGATAACACCCAAATGCAGACCGAGGCAGTGTAAGTCCGGGGCCTGTCACAGTACCCAACACTGAGTGAATGTGAGTTTTCTTTTTTCCCTGTCTCTGTGATAAATGCTCTATTAGGCCAGCACGCCTGACAAAGCCTTATCTGAAAATATGTTCGAGATGCGTGCTCCTGCCGGGTTTCAGGGATCAGCCGGCAATCCATTTCATGGATAACATCATCCTTTACCAGGGGAAACATTAAAAATTAACCCAGAGGACTTCATATTTTTCTGCTAGGAGCAAAGCTGCTATGGTTACCAGATAATGCACAGACTGAGTTGGAATACAGATAAGGACTTTTTTTTTTTTTTTTGTAAGAAAGGCAGAGGCCCTAGTGTGGGCTCACAGGAGAAACGCCATGTGGACAAAGGGAACACAATCAACATCAGAGCCGGGCAGCAGGCATTGGACCCCAGGCAGCATCTAACCTAGCAAATCAAGGCCAGGAGCAGGTTTGATCTTTACTTGGATAAAGAAGGCAAGGAGGGGAGTTGGGACGAGTGGGGGACAAAGCTAGAAGGAACTTGGAAGTATGGGTATACCACCAGACCCCATCTCTTACCACATATATGCCTGTGCATGCGCACACACACACATACATGCAAGCACACATACACACTGATCTTGGAGGTCTCTAAGCTAAAACCAGAGGTTGTCCCCCTACATCCAGCTATTTGATCCGATCAGGGCAAGACTCTGCTTCTGAGGGCTTCCACGGAGGACTTGACCCTATGGGCAGAGGCCAGGGCAGGTGCCTACAGAGCTGAAACTGACCCCTGTCACCAATCTGCCTCCAACACTGAGGTCCCTGGGGAAAAACTTCCAGGAAGACCAGAGGTCAGAGAAGTAGTGGGCCTTAACTCCAGGAGAGAGCACCCCATGTTCCTGCCTGTTCTGCATGAGATGGGAGGTCCATGTGGCCTGGACAGACATGGGTGGGGAAGGAACTTGGAAGGGCTTGTCCCCACCCAGGCATATATGTTTTCAGTCCTGAGCCTCGGGAGGCAACATGCCTGCATCTGATTGGATTATACAAGCTGAGGGGAGGCTCAAGGAATGAGCTCTAGAGCATGAGCCAGGAGTCCTGGCGTCTGGCTTTGCCGAGGGTGCCTGTGGCAAAGGGGACCTTCTCATAATGAACTCATTCTCCTACAAACTAAGACATTTCATTAGGAAAGTGTCACTTGGATAGGGATTATCCAAATAAATTATTTATGTCTTGGAGCTCAGCAAACAATCATCATGACAATATGAAATGAAAGATTCTGGGTGGGAGTCACTGCTCTGTGGGCTGAGGCACCTTTTGGGATATGAGGGATATCTGTATCCTGGGCCCACGGTGCTGCAGGAGGGGTCAGCTGGATTCCAGGCAGAGAGCCTCCAGAAGAAGCGATAGGAGGTTCAGGCCCTCAGCTCTACCCTTTCTAAGGTAGTTGAACTGCAGGTAGTCACGGAAATAGCCTGACCGTCAGGATCTCATCTGGAAAATGGGGATGATAACACCCAAATGCAGACCGAGGCAGTGTAAGTCCGGGGCCTGTCACAGTACCCAACACTGAGTGAATGTGAGTTTTCTTTTTTCCCTGTCTCTGTGATAAATGCTCTATTAGGCCAGCACGCCTGACAAAGCCTTATCTGAAAATATGTTCGAGATGCGTGCTCCTGCCGGGTTTCAGGGATCAGCCGGCAATCCATTTCATGGATAACATCATCCTTTACCAGGGGAAACATTAAAAATTAACCCAGAGGACTTCATATTTTTCTGCTAGGAGCAAAGCTGCTATGGTTACCAGATAATGCACAGACTGAGTTGGAATACAGATAAGGACTTTTTTTTTTTTTTTTGTAAGAAAGGCAGAGGCCCTAGTGTGGGCTCACAGGAGAAACGCCATGTGGACAAAGGGAACACAATCAACATCAGAGCCGGGCAGCAGGCATTGGACCCCAGGCAGCATCTAACCTAGCAAATCAAGGCCAGGAGCAGGTTTGATCTTTACTTGGATAAAGAAGGCAAGGAGGGGAGTTGGGATGAGTGGGGGACAAAGCTAGAAGGAACTTGGAAGTATGGGTATACCACCAGACCCCATCTCTTACCACATATATGCCTGTGCATGCGCACACACACACATACATGCAAGCACACATACACACTGATCTTGGAGGTCTCTAAGCTAAAACCAGAGGTTGTCCCCCTACATCCAGCTATTTGATCCGATCAGGGCAAGACTCTGCTTCTGAGGGCTTCCACGGAGGACTTGACCCTATGGGCAGAGGCCAGGGCAGGTGCCTACAGAGCTGAAACTGACCCCTGTCACCAATCTGCCTCCAACACTGAGGTCCCTGGGGAAAAACTTCCAGGAAGACCAGAGGTCAGAGAAGTAGTGGGCCTTAACTCCAGGAGAGAGCACCCCATGTTCCTGCCTGTTCTGCATGAGATGGGAGGTCCATGTGGCCTGGACAGACATGGGTGGGGAAGGAACTTGGAAGGGCTTGTCCCCACCCAGGCATATATGTTTTCAGTCCTGAGCCTCGGGAGGCAACATGCCTGCATCTGATTGGATTATACAAGCTGAGGGGAGGCTCAAGGAATGAGCTCTAGAGCATGAGCCAGGAGTCCTGGCGTCTGGCTTTGCCGCCAGCCTTCTGGGTGATCTTGAGCAAGTCCCTTTCCTTCTCCAACCTCAGTTTCTTTTGCTGAAAAGCGCAAGGATGGGATGAGATGAGATAATGTGCGGTCCCTCCCTGCTGCAAACATCCCCAGCACCCGGAGGTGGGGGTGATAGTTAGAAGTAGCTGGAGGACCCAGGGGTGCGGCGTCCAAGTCAGGAGCATGGACTCACTGGGGCAGGGACATGGCCTCCAAATCCCAAAACAGGTCAGGGTAGGAGTGCCTCTCTTGGACTTGGTGCTGAGAAAGCAGGGGATGCTGCCCAACAGAGTGGTCAGGAACACGGCCTGCGGCCCCCTCAAATTCCCTCTGCTGTGTCCTATTACGCACCCACTAACCATTTACTGAGGACCTACTATGTGCTAGCCTCGTTCTTGCCTTTGCCAGGAGTCATCTGGGAACCTGGCTGGGAGCTCCTGGAAGGCAGAACCTATGTCTGCACCACCTTGTGTTCCTAGGGCCCAGGCCCAGGCCTGACAGGTACAAGTTTCCTGAGAGTCAGCTCTGTAGGCAGCAGGAGGGGAGTGGGGTGGGCCTGCAGCCTCAGTGTGTTGTCATGGAACCTGCTTTAGGCTTTTGGTCTATTTTTTCCAGACTCTTTAGCGCAAAAGAGCCAAGAACACTGTTTGTGTACAGGTTCAGACCAGAGCCTTTGGGGGAAAAGGGTCTTTGGTCCGGAAGATCAGGAGCAAGGGGGTGCTGGCTTGGGAGGGGGTGTCAGTGCCCTGGGGTCCAGCCACCTCCTCCTTGGGAAGAAGCTGTTCCCTGGGATGCTGGCCAGAAGCTTCCCCTAGCAGAGCTCAGCTTACGTCCATCAGTGCTGCATTGATGTAGTTGCTGGATTCTCCATCCACCGAGATGAGGAAGGGCAGGCAGCGGTCCAGGGGCAGGACATCCATGCTCCGATTCTTGTCATGGTTCCGGGGCAGGAGCCCGATGCTGCAGTCCTCGGGCCGGACACGGGGAGTCACAATGTTGAGGGTCTGTAGGGTGCAAAGGCAGATAGGTAGGCACTGCTCAGATGGCTTCCCCAAATAGGAGACAGTGATATTCACACTCAGCCGAGCCCCGTCTCCATCTTCCAAGTGGCCCTCTAGTCCCTTCCTCAGGACTTACTCCTCTCCCATGGTGATGTGCTATCATCTCCTGTTGGCTGTTTCAGGCCCTGTGAGCTGAAGGCCTCTGCCGACGGCCGTGTGACACCACCAGGATGGCAAGGTTATGGGGTCAGCACACCCACACAATGTGGACACTGGCCCCCCGCACCTGCCAACCACTGGAGATATGCTGTGCATCTATCTCAGCCAGTGTTGCATTAAAGGCTAGGCCAACCAGGGGGTGTAAGGTGGGGAGCGAAGGGAATGAACCCCCAGTGAATGCTGCACATCCCTTGAAGTGTCATGGAGTGAGGGAATGACTTTACCAGCATGCTTCTCAGAGGGAAAGCTGTCTGAGAATGGAAAGTGCTTGGATGAGCTGCTCAGCATGGGTGAGAGACTCCCGGGAGGCAAGTTCTAGTACATCTGAACAATTTTGGGGCTGTGTTATGCAAAGTAAGTCTTACAAGGCAGGGGACAGAGCCAGACCATTCAGCCAATAGATTAGATACTATATGCAAGCATCAGGGGTCCCTCATTCAGCTTGTGGTCTCTAGTCCCAATTAATAAAGCCTATTTGATTGAAGGACCACAGAGGTGTGGCCTGGCTGGGGTCTCTGCCCATGCCCATGGAACCATGGGGCTTCCTGCCTTCTTCCTGCCTGGTTCTCAGCTCCTGTTGCCCAGGTGTGACCCTGACACTGACCTTGGGACAATGGACTTGGTTCTGGCTTTGCTTTGCTCAGGGACCAAAGCTGCCACCATTCCGACCCCAGAGGCTCCTGAGTGCAGTTGTGCTGTGCCAGACCTGGGCTGTGGGATGGTGCTTCTCAGAGTCTCATGTGCAGACAAACTGCTCAGAGATCTTATTCAACTGCAGGATCATGTTCAGTGGGTGTGGTGGGGACCCAAGATTCTGCATTTTTAACAAAGGTGAAGCTAGTGGTGCTGCCCTCCAGACCCCGCTTGGTAGTAAGGATCTAGGACACACTCCAATTGTGCCTTCATACTGAGAAAGCCCGAGTCTGTCCAGGGACAGGGGAGCATGGCACTCACACCCATGTGTACACTTGTCTCCATCCACAACCTAGACTACAACTAAATAAGACTTTGGTTCCAAAACAATCATAGTTAAAAACAAGTGTCAGCAATCCTTGCATGATCAGTTACTGATGCTCATGGCTGTGCATTCTGGGTTCTGTAATTCTTTCTGCTGCTCTAGAGCTGCAGACACTTGGGAGCACATGGGCATATCTGGTTCTCTCAAAGAAAATCCATGGGTGGGCTCAGTGCCGCTGAAATTGGCTGGGTCACTGACTGCGCTGGGATGTACTCATACCTGAAATTCATCTTTGATTTGGCTGGAGTTGGTCTGGGGGTCCAGCCTGCTGATGTTGTAGTAGAGAGAGCGGAACTCGCACACGGGAATGGCTGTGTTGCCGCAGAGGCACGCTTCCAGGATGGCGTCATGCACAAACACGTATTGCTCCTGCAAAGCCAAGGGGAGAGGAGACAAGGGGACAGGGGACTGGGTAAGAACAGTGGCCTAGGGATTTGTTGTCTGCATTAAATCCTGTGACCTGATTACAGGATGGGCATGATTTATGTTGCAGAGTCACTACTTTCTATCTTGTAACCTGAAGGGCCAAATTCCCATGCTTTTACTGTTTGCCCGAGGTATGGTGAGTTTTCTCCCCTGTGTACAACTGAAGGGACAGAAAATAAAAATCACTGATAAAAATTAGAGACCTCTGGCATGCTGCAGCCGGCACTCACAGTGTTCTGCTCATGTCTGCTCAGCTTTTACCTTTATTCTGAAGGCTGCTTACTGCAAATACCTGAGATTCACACTGAGGGCCTTTTCTAGTCCCAGGAGCACACTTGGGCTGTGGGCAGGGTGAGCCACAGGGGCTGAAGAGTCAATGCCCCGGAAGGAGCCCTCAGGCAATGCCAGATGGAGAGAGGAGGAGAAATGCCTATGTACTTTCTCTCCTAAGTAGGAAGCTCGGAAGTGCACGTTCCACACTTACCTCAGAGCTTCCCGGCGGGACCAGGCTCCAGGTGTCCATGGTGTCAAAGAGCTTGAAAACACTTAACAGCATCCAGAATCTTGGTTCCCTGCCCTTCTCTATCTCACTTTCCCACTCACCAGCCAGGGTGCCTTGAGATCACCTCCCAAATAAACCACCTTCCCTCAACTCCTGTGTCTCAGGGTCTGCTCCTAAAATACAGCTCTGCCATCTCAGTTCTTTGCACCTGTTTGTCTCCTGAAACACCATTCTTCCTTTCCTATGCCTTCCATGCCTCTTCCCTCTGGAAAGTCGTCTTTAGAAGTTGTTGCTGTTTTTTCTAGGCCCCTAACAAATGTTTGTTCTGTGCTGCAGAACTCAGCCCATCTCTTAATATAAAATGCTTATCCAGATGCATCATCATGATCTATCTGAATGTCTGTTTCTACCATAAGACAGCAAGGACCGTGTATCTAACACCAGACAGAGGGCCTGCTTTCTGCATGCACCAACTTGGGAATGGATAGGGCAGCCTTTCTGCTTTACTGCCTCATCGAGAAACATAAAGCCTGGCCCTGTGGAAGTTGGTACAGAGCCCAAGGCAGGCCCTATGAGTATAAGCCTGTAAGTGGGGCTTTTTTGGTGCAGAGCCAGCAGTGACCGGTCAGGCCCAAAGCCAGGACTAACTGCCCTTTGCAGGGTTGCTGATGGGTGCAGTTCCTTACCTGGCCCAGTTCTGACTGCTTGGAAACCCACAGCCTTCACTAGGACCAGAAGATGGGCTCATTATAGGAAGAGCAAACCACGGCTTCAAGGAGTAGGGGAGGCAGAAAAGGCTGCCTAGTAAGACAGTGTGGTTCAGGAGAAGGAACATGGAGGGTGGGGTCACACGAACCAAAATTCTACCCCCATCTGCCTCTGTGAGGCTTGGGGGACCCAGTTTCTCAGTTTTTTCATCTGTAAAATGGGGTTACTAGTAGGTCTACCCCGTAGGCTTATTGTGAGGAGTAGACACAACACCCTGAGTACAAAGGACCTAGCATGATGCCTGGCACATAGTAGAGGCTCAACAATAAAGATGAACCCCCATCCCCCATTTCCCTTGGGTCTTGGGCTAACTGGACAGAGGGGTGTTTGAAGGTCTGCTCTGCCCTTGAGGGTGGAGGCTGTTTGTTATGTGTCTTGGAATCCCCAGAATCTACAGCCCAGCACAGTAGGCATTCAGTAAATGTCAGTCTTTCCTCATCTCTCTGTTCCTTCACCCAAGGCAAGAACATCATCAGAGAATCCCTGAAAGTTGCCATTCAGCCCCTGCTCAGATGCCCTCAGAGATGGGAACTCACCACTATTCTTCCCTGGTGGAAATCCCTGCACTGGGGGTTCTTAGGGCGGGCGTCCTAGCTGCTATGGTCTCCAATGCAGCAAGCCCTGTATCCATCCCCTCCTGTTTCTCCCATGCCCAGCTCTCTTTCTACAGGGGCCTCCCCACCGGGTATCTCTGTCCATCACGCTTCTCCTTGGCCAGGGCTGCAGCTGGCCAGCTGGCTTGGCCCAGGACTCACCTCTGTCTGCACCAGGTTGACCCTCTGGGCCCGAAGCTCACGCACACAATTGAAGATGTCCACCACCCCTTCGTTCTCGGCCATGTCAAGCATGGTGTCAATGGCAATGAAGCAGCCAGTCCTCCCAGCTCCAGCACTGGAAGAGAGGACAGTAGTCTATGTTAGGGGCCTTGGGGCAGGACTGGCCCTGGGGAGGCTGCTCCCATGCAGCTCTGCCCCCCAGGACCCTGCAGAGAGGCAGTATGCCGCACAAGTCAGACTGAGCAGTCTCAGCCCCAGAGCAGCGGGGAGATCCTGAGCAGGTAACCAAACTTAGAACCTCAGCTCTCTCTTCTGTAAAATGGGAGGGTAATGCTTGCCTTTGGGGGCTGTTTTATCAGGACTGACTTTTTTTGTTGTACTCACTAAACACTTATTTAGTGCTTATAAAGTGCCCGACACTGTTTTTTTTCTAAGTGCTTAAAATGTTACCTACTAATTCCCTTATAAGGTTATTAGGAAGTTTCTTACTCCATTTCACAGATGAGGAAACTGAGGCACAGAGAGCTCACCTGGCCTGAGGTCCCACATCTGGCCTGCGGTGGAGCTGGGACTTTTGACCCAGGCAGCCTGGTCCATTCTGTGCACTTACTGTCCCCCTCTTAGTAACAGTCATAGCACACAGTGAGTGCTTAGACAACACCTGTACACGCCGTTTCCTCGTCTGATCGACGAAGATGCTCCATCCGTACAGCATGAGGCTTGGTGCCTGGCACACTGGAGGAGCCTAATAGTGTGTCTCTCCTCCCTCTCTCTCCCCTACTTCCTTCCCTCCCTCTCTTTTCTTCTCCAGCAAACAGGTGGATGGAGGGAGGCAAGGAAAGATAGGCAAGAGAGAATGGAGAGGAGGTAAGTGAGACAGCAGGGCCCAGCTCCACCGAGCAGTCCTAAAGGCAGAGAATGAGTCCTGAGTCCCAGGTCCCGAGCCCTGAGATTGGCTCCACTTGACCTGCTTTCCCAGGATCATGAGCCAGGAGCATCCTCAAACTGGGACAGGCGACAGCCTGAGACCCCAGCCTGGCATCAAGCCTCCTGACACACACCCGATTCTAATCACTGGTGGCTCCCTTTGGAAAAATCTCAAACCAAGTACAAAATAGAAAAGAACTCAACAAGACCCCATGGACCCCAGCCAACCCTCCCCAGAGCAGCACTGGGTTCCAAAGTCATGGCCCTGAGCCAGAGACAAATGGAATACTTGCCTTAGCTGCATATAATTTGGGAAATGAAGAAGGCCCACCTTGGCTGTGTTTTCACATCTTGTTTCCTTCACGGAAACAGGAGGCTTTGTCAGACAGTGGGGAAAAGGAAGGAAACACAAAGAGGAAGAGCAATGGAAGGACAGCAATGGTGGCTGCCCACAAAGCCAGGAGGACAGGCCAGTGGGGACCACCACCCACTACGATCTGGAAAGCAAATGCCTGGGAATCCCTCCGCTATGGTCTGGAAAGCAAACCCATGGGAACAGAGTCCTCGTTCTTGGTAAAATGTAATAGTTTGAATTGAGTCTGACCAGTATTTGCCCCAGAGTACCCAACCCGCAATCCAGACCCCCAGCAGGGACTTAGCAGGCTGGGCCTTGGGGTCTAGGAGGGAGCACAGAGGGACATGCATCCAAGTCTTCTCTGAAGTCTCATGCTTGACCTGTTTTGGGGGAAGAACCAGCCTGCCTTGGCTCTGAATCAGTGAACAAGGGACACTGTGTCCATAAGCCTTGGTTTTCTCACATGTATAACATGTGAGACCCTGAAGGGGTCTCATGAGGATTGTCATGTATTTATTACAGCAGCACACACCAATCAAGCACATGATATTTGGGGTCAGAGCCCTGGGATCGAGTCCTGGCTCTACCACTTAGTCGCTTTGTGACCTTGGGAAAATGACTTAACCTCTCCGGGTTTCAATAACCTCATCCATAATATGAGGCTGATAATAATAAATGGATCCACTATGTAGCATTAATAACACAATGCATGCAAACTGCATGCAGTTACACTGAAAAAGCATAATGCACGTAGCTTGCTTAGCAAATTCTCAATAAATTGTTGCTACTTATATTCAAGAGATATTTACTGAATTGTATCATGTTCTAGATGCTGGGCTTGGAAGTGGGGATATGAAAAGGAGTAAGACATGGTTCCTGTCTGCAGATTTAATAGTCTGGTGTAGCAGGGGAGCAATGTTAAGAGGAAGAGAACAGTAATACTTTTTCATGCTTATTTTATGTCAGAATCTCTTAGGCACCTCACATATGTTATCTGACCCATTTAATCTTCAGAAGAGCTCCAGGAGTGGGTGCCACTCTGCTCAGGTGCATTAAGGTGACTTGCTGTGGAGATAAGATACAGGGCACCCTGTAAGGAGGGCCTGATAAATGTTTGCGATCCTTGCCCTTTCTCCTGTGTCCCTGCTCTTGATGTTCTCTGGGATACAGGACCTGGGGCTCATGTTCTATTGTCCTTGGATTGTCATGAGATGTAAAGCAGAACATGTGCAAAACGCTTGGAGAGTACAGACTTAGGATGAGTATTACCTCCTAATCCTCAACTGCCTCATCTGTGAAATGGGGCTTCTAGTTCACACCCCACTGTCATGAGAAAAGGGAGGCTAAGATATCTACAGATTATGAAGTCTTTCTTGACTTGATTCAAGATCTTGGCTCCTGTGGACTCTGCCAGAACAGGGATAAGATAACGTGCATGCAGTGAAGCACATGCAAGGTCTGAAAAGCTGGGCTGGGCTCAAGGTCACTTTGGAAAAGAGGGGCCTTGGGATGGAGGGAATGTATCGGCTAGCTGGCCTTCAGGTCTGGACGTCCACCCTCCTCCAATTCTTGATGCCCTTGACAGGATACTTCATCTCCATTTAGGAGGATTCAAAGATGTGCCAGTCATTCCCAGCGTGACTTTCTAGGTTGGAGCTGAAAATATCTCTTCTCTGTAGTAAGGTGAAACCTGACTCTGTTCATTTACTTTCTATTAAGGACCCTGCAGACCAGCAATTGATTTTTAAAATCATGTAAATGAAGAGAAACATGCTTCCACGGAGGCACCCCACTACGTCAAGGAGCTAAGGGCCAGTATCTGGAGAAAAGCAGGTTAAACACCCAGGCTCTGCCATTCGACACCTTTTGACTGAGCAAAACGTTTACCTTCTCAGCACATTTCTTCATCTATAAAATGGAATGATAACACTGAGCACCTCTCAAGGTGGGGTGAGAAGTGAAATGATGTGGGTAAAGTGCACATGTAGCAGACGCTGTGGGTGCCAAGACCACGTCCCAGACTTTCCGATTTTGGGGCAACAGCCATCACAATGACTACTACTGCTACTATTATTGCTGCGTTGTTGTTAGACCTCGAGACCGGATCTCACCAGAAAGGGCTGGACATAGGGGGTGTAGGCAGAGGAGTCTTTAAGGCAAAGGATAAAGGCCACTGGGAAACATCATATCTCCCTAGCCAAGGGAGCAGAACCTCAGATGCACCCGTTCCGAGCAGGGGGCCTTCCGCTTACCTGCAGTGGACCACTATGGGCCCAGCCTCAGGGGGGTTGAGGAACTTGACCTGGCGGACGAAGCCCAGGAGACCAGTGGCATAGCAGGGGACACCGTGGTCGGGCCAGCTGGTGAAGTGGAAGAGGCGGAGCTCCCGGATCTCGTGGTAGCCTTTCTGTGGAGAGAACAGGCCTCTGTTCCTCTGGCTGCTGGGCCCACAGAGCCCACCCAGCAACACGGGGAGCCCGCCTCCCTGCTGGCAGGAGGACAGGACCCTCAGAGCAGCTGCACGGGGTGTTTCTGCAGTGTTACATTTGGGAACCATGGAAGTAGATAAAGTGGAAGTGATTGCTTTACTGCAGGACTTCTCAGAGCCCTAGGGGGCTGATGTACATTCTGAATCCCCAAGGTGGCATTCTAACACCCACAATGTTTGCCCAAGGGACCTCTTTGACTAGTGTGTCATGGGCTTCTCAATTTCACTCCCGTGGAATATGAGGCCTTTCAGTGATTGAGGTCCAGCATCCTTAGGTTTTCCAGTCCTATGATTGCCTCCATGGCTTTCAAATTAAAAAAGGTTATCAGGCTTCTTTATTAATTAGATTCCTATTTAGAATGATAAGATATGAAATAAGTAGGAGCAGAGATTCTCTGGCTGATGGGGGCCCCTTCCTCCCCACCACTCCACACCCTCCAGGGCAAATGGCCATTCTCTGACTATTCCATGGTCAGGTCACACCTCAGCCTGTGCCTCTGCAGGGTCCCCTACCTACTTGTTCCTCCTTAGCAATCTCCTGCAGATATTCAGAGGGCACTGAAGAGAAAGACTGTTCATTCTTGCAGTTAATACCTATTCACTGAGGCTTACCTGTGCCCAGCCTTATGTTAAGTATTAGCGAGAGAAAAGTAAAAGTCACAGTCCCTGTCCCTGTCCCTGGAACAGTTCATGGTCTAGTTCGAGGAAGGCTCCTAAATGGAACATCCCTCCCTCTCTTACAAATTCTTCTTGAGAGTGGTCCCTTGACATGCCATATGCACCCAAATCCTTGTCTCAGGCTCTGCTTCTGAGAAACTCATCCTAAGATCACACTTAAGTACCTGTTGTATCCTCTTCAGGATGGAGAAGTGCCCTTTTCTCCTGGCTCTTCACCTGAGTCTGCAGGTGGGGGCCTTTAGGAGGATGGAGGTTGGAGGGGGAGCTGCTGGGAGCGATATGTTCTGCACCCTGTCCCCATGCCCGCTTTGGCCCACAGAAGCACTCGTCCAGCCCCCACAGCACAGCTTCCAAAGCACTGAGGCCTCCACTGCTTCTGCCTCCTCAGGCCTGTGGTCCACGTGCTCCATTAACAGTGTTGCTTTCAGAAAATGGCCATTACGGTGAGGAGGAAGGGGCGATGAGCTTCACGTCAGGGGCTGCAGTGTTCACGTCAGAGGCAGAGTTGCCTCACAGCTGGGCAACTGATTTAAATGCTCTGTGCCTAATATTTTTCATCTGCAAAATGGCAGTAATAATCATGCCTACCTCAACAGGTTGTTGGGAAGATTAAAGGAGTTAATTTATGCAAAGCACTCATAGAAGCACATGGTTTAGTAAGTGCCCTATAAATGGTAGTAGGCATCATTAACAGTAGTAATGACAGAGTAACAATGTTTATATAATAATGAAGTCATAAAAATAATAAAAATGATTATTTGCAATCTCATTCTTGGTCATCAGTCTCCTGCCACCGTGGCCTCCTTTCAGTGTCTAAACCAGTGTTTCTCCACCCAGGCATTAGTGACATTTGGATGGATAATGTTTTGTAACTGGGGGCTGGCCACCCTGTGTCTCATAGGGTGTTTATTACCATCACCGACCTTCACCCACTAGATGCCAGTAACACCCACCCCCCTCTGTTTTGACCATGAAAAATGTCATTGCCAAATATTCCCTATAGGACAGAATCACCCACAGCTGAGAACCAGAGGCCTAGAACATGTTGAAATCTTCTTTCCCCTCAACTCCGCATGTTTGTTTCCCTTTGTCTGGGATAGTATTCCTCCTGTTCCTCCCTTGGCTGGCTCCTTCTCATCCTTCATCATCTGCCTAAATGCCACCTCCTCCGGGAGGCTCTCCCTGACCACCCCATCTTCCTGTCTCCACTCGTGGCATGTTTCTTCTGTGGCTTTTATCACCAGGTGTCATCGTTCTGTTTATGTGTCTGTTGAATTCTGTTTGTCCCTCCTGCTAGAGGTGGAATCCTTTGGGGCAGGATCCACATCTAACTCGATTGCTGACCTGTGCCAAGCACAGATCGGGTGCAGAGCAGACCCTCGCTCACTGGCTCACTGGGTGTGCTGAGCTGAACAAATAAGACCAGCTCACCTAGTGGACAAGTAGCCCACAGCCACAGGAAGCTTACCTTCTGGACTGTGAAGGTGCGAATGACATATTCTGCCAGGGGCTCTGTTTCAATCAGTGTGACTTTAATGTCTCCATAGACCTCCGTGTCATCCGGCCAGTATCGCACACACTTCACCTGTGAGAAACGACAGAGTGGAGGTGTATGAGCAGGTGGCTGAGTGCAAGCAGCTGCCTTCCCATTCAAAAAAACCCAAGGGTGACTTTGGTGGAATTTTGGTCCAGGGGGTTTCCAGCTGGCCAGGGACTGGCAACCACACAGGGCTGAGCTCCCTCCCAGAGGAACTGGAGCCATTAGGAATAATGGTTGTACCCTCTTTTGCAGAGCTCCTTATAAATTTCAAATCCGTTACCACAGTAAGTGATGAGATAGTTCTAGGTGAGCTAGGCAGGTGGTGTTATCCCCATTTTACAGATGAAAATAACACTCAAGTTTGAAGATTTAGTGACTTGTCCAAGGTCACATGGCCAGTTTTCTACCTTCGGCTGAATCCTCGTTCTTCTATATCAGGTTGGGGCAGCTGAGTGGTAACAGCAGAGGAGAGTTGGGAATAAAAGGTGGGAAACAGTGAGGAGGGGGAAGCAGAAGTGGCTGGGAGAGGGACATTAATATTAAGAGGTGGTAATCGTGGGCTGGAAGGAGAAAGGCTCTTAGTTGGGTGAAGGATGGAAGGTACAGGCTCAAAGGGAAGACTTCGCACTGCTCTCTGCCCCATGGTGGGTGCGGAAGCTATGAACAAGCCATCCCCTCATTTGACTCTAAAGTCACATTCCACAGGAGGAAAAAGAGATCTTATTGTTTTCCCCTAAAAAGAACAAAAGCATTACCATTCCGGGGGACGCCGCACGGCCTAGAGTGGCATTTCCCACAGTGTGTTCCGCTGGGTGCTAATAGGTGTTAGGTAAAAAACAAGAAACAAAAAACAAACAAAAAAGGTTTTGTGGTCAAATGAGTTTGGGAAATGCTGGATTAAATAAAGTTAAACAGGCTGCTTTGCTACAGGACTACTCAGCTCATTTAATGTTCTAATGCTCATGTGTCTTTGAACTCTCCAAAAGGGGCAAAGAGTACACAGCATTTCCCAAACATATTTAACCATGGAACCCTCTTCTCACTAAACATCCTGCAGACTAGCATCCCATGGAACCCACTTAGGGAAACGCTGGTACAGTGTAACAGGCTCTGGAGGCAAGTGGATGCACTGCTTGGTTCTAACACTCAGTAGCTGTGTGGCTTCCAGAAAGTGCTGAAAGCTCTCTGAGCCTCAGCTTCCTATTAACAATGATAGCTAACACTTATTGGTGGCCAACTATGTCTGACACTGCTTACTAAGTATTCCACACATACTGTACATGTATTATTTTAATTACTTATCACCACAACCTTATGAAGCAGGTATATTATTATCCACATTTATCAGATAAGGCATAAGAAGCACAGGTGGCTAAGAAAATTGCCCCAAATCATCTGATCGTAAGGGATGGAGCCGGGATGCAAAACCAGGCCTCTGAATGATTACCAGGAACGCTGCCTCATACAATTGTTGTGAGATCAAATGAAGTAATGGGTTAAGTGTCTAGTGCAGTGCTTGGCGCCTAGCAGAGTTCCATGAAAAGATTGTTCTCGGTCCCCTCCCCAAATCCAAATTAAATTCCTGATCTGCCCATGAAGGGAATCTCTCTTCAATGTGGGAGAAGTTATAAAACAGGCTGGGATTTGCCCCTGAATTATTAAATGCTGGGCTGGCCTTCTGCCCCTCCATAGTTGCTCCCTGGACCTGAGTCCCTGGGGAGCGGTCCCGAGAAGAGGGGCCATGGGCACTAGAATGAGTGTCTGGAGCAGTAGACTGTGGCTGGGTCCTGGCTGGGCAACCTCAGGGGGTCACTCACCCCTTTGGCTCTGTTTCCTCTTCTGTGAAACTGGGGAATGAACTAGAAAGAGTGGGCTCAAGGGTAAGGCCTCTCCTGGCCCTAAATTCCTACTAGGCCAGGCGATGTCTGTGGTCCTTTACGGGACAGCCCACATTCTCTTTCCTGTTATCTGAGAGGCCAGGACTCTTCATTTTAATGGGTTAACTGGTTCTTGCCAAAATGAAAATTTGCCTGCCCTCTCTTTAGTTAGCTCACATCGTGAGCAGAGAGGCCCTCTTAATACTAGTGTTTGCGCACCCTGCCTTTAAATCCAGCAGCGCACCCACCCACACGCCACAGTTCACCAAGAAGGCAAAAGCCAGTTGGGAATCGCAGTCCCATTGCTAAGCTCTAGGAATGGCTCAGGGCCACACAGAAGAGGGTGGAGATGGAGCAGAGCAGGAGACCAAGGCCAGGACCCTGAAGAATATCGGGGAGCAGAGGTCAGAGGGCAAAGGGTCAAATGCTCTGAGAGTTTGAATACAATGAAAAGAGAGAAGTGGTTTGGATTCGTCACCATGAAGGATGTTGGTGATGCTGACGTATCGGGTGGGATGGAGGGCACAGCGCCGTGGAGTGGGTAGAAGAGCATGTGAGTGAAGAAGCAGCTGGTGAGTGAGTCTTCTGAGTTTGGTGGGGAAGTAGGGACAAGAGAACCTCTTTTGTTTGTCTGCTTTATATTTTAAGGGGGAAGGTGCTCGGGATATTTGCATGCTGCGGGGAATAATCTAGCAATGAGAAAGAGAATTAATTTTCAAGTGAGAGGGGTAAGTGAGAAAATTCTTGAACAGAATTGATGATTCCAGGCACTGGGATGGCCTTTGAAAGGGCAAGAGCCACTTACCCCATCGTATTAGGCTGAGCCACAAGGAACGGCCCATATTCTATTACCTGGGGTCAACAAGAACAGCCTTTTTTTAATGGGTCAACCTGATAATAGAGGGGAAGGATGAGAAGATGGTTGTAGACAGAAGGAGGATTGCAGCCTTGTGGTGTGAAGATGAGCGAGTTCATATCTGATGGCTTTCACTTCCTCGAACTGTATGAGATGACATCATCAACGGGGAGTGAGGATGGAAAAGGGAGGGGGGTGGGGGCTCGAAGGCCAAGAACATTCCTTAAATGTGAGACGGGAGTGAAGATTTCTCCCGGGGAGGTCTGGTGAGGGTGAAGTATTGCCCAGGAGGCACTTGGCACAATGCACGAACAGAGAGATGCTCAGAGGGGCAATGCCGGCATCCTCTATCCGGGCAGCTGCGGGAGGGGCTTACCCTGCCCACCTCCACGAGGTTTGTCACCATGACGATGCTGGCTGAGTTCTCCTGCCAGATCATCCTCCAAAAGTCCTTCACGGTCTCCTGCATGGGACCTGCCGACAGAGAAGGGACAGATCAAACAAGGACAGCAAGGGTGAGGAAGCAGCCAAGCAGCTCTCCTTCCCCGCTGGACACTCCAGGCTCCAGGTAGGTGAGCAAGTGAGGCCAAGTGACCCTCGTTGGTACACCCAAGTAGCTGACATGGGCCCTGACGCGTGCGAGGTCAGGTGTGGCTAAGAAAAGCAACACTCCAAACTGGCATGGTCGGCAGCCTCACTGCACATGTTACCAGCTCCGCCTCTTCCCTCCGCCACCCTCCTGCTAAGAGCCTTTTCCATCAGCCCTACTTCCCCCGACCCGTCACCTCATCTGCACAATATTATGGTTAATAATATAGTTGAAGGTAGTTTTCATAAAAATTTGGCCCCACAACCTTAATGAGAGACAGGAAGGAAATTAAGGCAGAGAGGGAGGACAGAGAGCTACAGGAGCCAGATGCTGAGAGAACAAGCAGAAGACGTCAGATTTTGAGCTTGACAAATGCTCGGAGCATTTGTCTGGAGCCCAAGCGGAAAGGAGGAAAAAAAAAATAGACAAGGCCTGGGAGATAGGATCTGAGCGTCCAAAGCAATTTCCTTGGAAATGTCTCTTTCAGTGTGCTGGACCTTCACTGTTTTTTGAATTACTTTATATGTGTTTGATATAAAACATTGACTACCCCTTTTCTGTTCTGTATGTATATACCTATATAAATGTATGTACATACTGATACACATTTACTGTAATAAGCATCATAGCTATGACATGCATTTTCTCATGCCCTTAAGGATCCTTACCAAGCATTTTTTAAAATAACAGTATAACGTTCTATAATATGGAAGTATCACACTTTATTTAACCAATCTACCAATTGTCAGGCATTTAAGATTTTTCACGTTTTCCTATTACAGATAACAGAGTAAAGAGTACTTTTACGTATGTCACTGTCCACATATATACTTATCCACAGGATGTCCTCCCAGAAGGGTTTGAGGAGAGGATCATTTTTAAGCCTTCTGATAACAATGTCAAGTTGCTTTCTAGGACCCCTGGCTGCATCTGTCTTCTGGGCACATACCCTCTGAAGAGATAAGGTACCATCAGCTTCAGTCCTGGATGGTGGGTGTCAATGGCACGTTTGGTCTGTGCTGCCTGACCGTTTCCAGGGGACACCTCCTTCCTCTCTCATCCCTGACCCTCCCTCCGCTAGCTGAACTCATCACCTTCGTCCTTCTCAAACAAATGAAACTCCTCAAGGACCCCTGGAGACTCTCTGGCTCTACTCCCGCGTGACTTCTTTGCTGACAGAGGCTCATTCCTCTCCTCCAGCGGAAGCCGGGCCCCTTGCAGAAGGAGGCACTTACCCTGAGTTGCAATGTAATGGCGAGGTCGATGGTATCCCTGGATAACAGGAGGAAAGCACAGTGAAGGGCCTCCAGTCAAAGCTTGCAAACACCATAATTTTAACAATTATCTTTTCCAAGACATGGTTTGCTCATCGGCAAAACGAGAATAGCATGAAACATTTCCCAGGGAAGTGGCCAAGATTCAATAAGGTAAGGCATATAAAGCGCTTAGTAAATCACGAAATGTTAGCGGTTGTTAGAGTTACTTGTGAGGGCCCATATCAGCTTGCCTTGGAGCCAGTGGACTGCAAGCAAAAATTGGGTGGGCATCCCTTATGCCCATGCACCCAGGAAGAGGTGGAGAAGGAATTCTCAGGTTTCTGTGGGACATCAACTACCACAAAGTCTTTCCTGAGCCATGATATGCAGAACACTGCGTGAGGCCCCGCAGGGCACCTGAGAGAAGAGAACAGCTGCACTGTTGGCTCACTGTCTTAGTGACAATTAGATAAAGAAAACTGGGAAGGATGCCACCTGCCCCGCTGTCTGACATGGCTGGGCTTGAAGTCCTGTTCATCAGGGAGCACCCTGTAGAGGTGCTATCTAGAGACCAACAAAGCCACTTTCTGATTCAGAGACTGCCGTCTAATTTCCCTCTACATTTCAGGATGTCCTGGGGTTCCTTTGGTGCCCCATTACCCTAATCATTGGGGAAGAGGTTGACGCTGAGCTTCTCTTTTGCCTGGGCGTGGTGCACATGGAGGGTGCCCTTTCCTGTTATAGAAAGGAAGTTATCATGTTCAATAGAAGGTCAAGTTTTGGAGACATATCTGTATTGAGCACATAACATTGAATGTAGTGCATGTTTACTGAGGGAACCAATGAGAGAATGAATGAGTGAATGAATGGACAAATAAAAAAATACAGATGCCAATTATTGAGCCTATTGGTGGAAAGGTTGTTGACAGTCCTGAATTCATTTTCTTTCATGGTCATCCATGTCAGGAGAAAATAAGTCCTAAAGTTTGAAGACTACCTCTTCTTGTCTTAGGCATTGATCACACTTTCTGTCCTGTCAAGATGCATAAGCTGACCAAAGGCCCCCCTTCAGGAGGTAAGTCAGAATTGCCATGTGTGTGGTTTATGGTGACATAGATATGACATCTCTGAAGTTCTGGATCTACTTTCTGATTCAAAGGCTAGTTTTTGAGTCACTTGTACATTTCTCTACCTCAGCCTTCACTCGCTCTCTAAATATTTAATAGGTATCTTCTAATTGCTGGGTACACTCTAGAGATGCTGGGCTGACTGTCAGCACCAACCCAAGGTTAATGCCACAGCCAGAACTGTTGGATTAACCATATGGAACGCAACAGCCTCCCTAAACTCTTCGTTTGAGTGGTCCTATCTTCTTAGTGAGGTTGTCAGCATCTTAAACACATACACTACCTCCTAAGGTTAAAAAAAATTCCCACAGAGCCTTGCATAGTGTGAGACTCAGAGCAAATGCCCCATAAACAAGCCATGGAGAAACTAATCAGAAGGGGAGCATAGCAGGGTGGTAATGTGCCTGACCTCTGGACCTAACTTGCTGGGTTTGAATCCTGCCCCCTGCCCCTTAAAGGCTGTGTGGTCTGGGGTGAGTAACTTAACGTCCTTGTGCTTTAATTGATTTTTTTTTTTTTTGCTGTAAAATGGGGTAATATCACAATGCTTATATCACAGAGTTGCTATTAGGATTAAATGAGTCAATATATGACAGTTATTATGTTCCAGGTATAAGTCTAAGATTTAACATAATATAAAAACTTTGCTATTATCATTTTATTGTTCATCTGGCAAGTATTTATTGAGTGCCTGTAAGACTAAAAGTCTATGCTAGCTACTAGGGAGACCTGAGATGGTAAGCCCTTCCCGCCCCTCTGCTCTGCCTGTGAATGTCATAAACTGAGCCCTTTTCTGAGACATGAGAGGTAGAAAGGTGCACCGAGCTATTTGTTCTTGCAAGTCAAGATGGACAGGCTTCTCTGGCTCACAGGAAGGATTAGACTCTGGGAGTTCCCTGAATAGGTTTGGGAACAGAAAACAGTCCCCCGGAGTATGGACATACGTGGTTTCTCAAGTGCACCTTCTTTCTCTCACGCCCATCATCATTTCTTCTCACAGCCCTTGTCCTCCCTGACCTTGGCCATGGAACCAGCCTCTCGCTGGCCTCCCTGCCTCCAGTCTTTGCCCACAGCCCATCTTCTTCCTGCCAGAGTAAACTTCCCAGGGCACATCTGATCTCATATCCCCACTTAAAGCCTGAAGTGGCTCCCTACTCCCTACACAATAACGCCTACACATCTCAGCTCAGGGCTAATCACCTGCCTCCATCCTCGTCACCAGCCTCACCTCCAGCTGTCCTTCTCCATCCCCTTCCTCAGGCCCATGTATCCCTAGGTCCAAGCTTCCTACACTGCACTTCAGATGAGATCTCCTTCCCCTGAGCAGTCCTGCAGCGCTTTGCCTATGTCCAGTTAACACACTTAGTATACGTGCTGCAACAGGACTTTTACACTTCCCTCCTCCTGGGCCATGGGACATGCCACCCAGAGCTGAGTGTGCTTTTCAGCAAAGGCTAGTTGGTGGCATACAGGATGATTATGCCTTCCAGGTTGAGGCACTCACTCCCTTTAATGCATGGGGTTGAAAGACAAAAGACCCTCCGGAGGAAACAGATTTGGAAGATTCTAATATGCTTGAAAGTCAATGGGATGAAATTTTGAGCAAGAAATGCACATTTCAGTTGTGGGGTTAGATGACTTGGCTCATTATTTTGTTCATTCATTTGTTCACTCGGTCATTCAATATTCCATCACCAGGCATAAATGGAGCACCGACTACTAGGCACAAGGTACTGGAAACACAAAAGTGGAACAGATGGACGTAAGCTTCTGAGCTGCTTATAGACGTAACAAACTGGGATGGGGCTGCCAAGGGGAAGACGTGGGGCTCTGCAGACCTCCCTTGGGGAGTGGACTCAGCCATGGAGGCCAGAGAAGCGTTCTCAAGGTGGTGGCAGTTGGAAGGGCCCCTTGAGCCTAGTTTGGGTATCTCAGCATCCCTGTTATTCCCATTTCTCGCCTTCCGCAGTATTCTGTCTTCCACCACTCTCCCTGTGGCGCACTGGCTGTCTCCCTCTTCTTCAGAAACAGCAGCATGTTTCCATCTTGAGACCTTAGCACCAACCGTTCCCCATACTGGCTGTGTCTGTCCCTAGACAACTGAGCAGTTTGCCCTCGCCCTCCATCCAGGCTTCTGCTAGGAGGTCAGTCAGCTCTGCCGAGATCCCTTCCCTGACCAGCTGTCGGCCTCATCCTGCTTTCTCTGGTTTGCGTTTCCTCAGGCCACTTGTCACCAAATGGCAATGTCCTCTGCTTATTCACATGCTCAGTGTCTGTTTCCCAGCAGAATAAGTGTTCCAACAGGGCAGGGCTTGCTCATGGCTGTGTCCACAGCATAGAGAAGTCTGCCTGGGCCACAGCCTTGATAAATGCATATCAAATGCATGCATGCATGCTGCATGCCTGTTTGCACACTGCATCTGAGTAAACAGACCCTCTCTGGACTCCAAACCCCATATGGCACCCAAAGAGAAAACTTTCTAACCATGAGATTCCTCAGGAATAGAGATAAAAGGAAATGCATTACTCAACTGAGGCTCTTCTGGGGATTTGCCAAGAGCTGGTACAGAAAACTTCCTAACCTTAAAAGAACTTTTGAGTTCATTTAAGTCCCACCTGAACAGCATGCAGATCAACTGCAAACCAGCACTGGGCTGGCCTCCATCTGCCTTTGAGCAATGGGAAAGAGGTTTGCATCCAAAATGCATTGATGCCACTCTGTGCTCATGCATCTGTTACTTACTGGGGACCCAGATATTTATTTCCAGACTGGTAATTTATAACAGATTCAAGTGGCCAGTATGTTCTGGGGTATGCAAACAAACCTGCCAGTGGGATGGTTCAGAAGGTAGTGGTACCAGAGCCTCTGGAGGCATAGACAGGGCTGGCCCCATCCACCTCATTAGCCAAGTGGAGTTGTTTCAATGGATCGTCGAGATCCAATTGTGGATAAATGATTCTAGCACTGGCAGTTAGCTCTTTGAAGAGCCTGGAGGATTTAGGCTGGGGTGGAGACCAGGACAGAGGGGTGAGGACCTGAATAGCTGTCTAGGTTGTATCTTGCTAGGAATCCCCATAGGGTCTAGAGGGATTTTAACTTTGCTGGAGTCTATAGCAGGTGCATGATTTACACGGTTACCCCCATGCCACCCCATACTGTAACAGCATGTCACAGTGTGTCAGGAGGGGTTGTGCTCAGTGTGTCTACTCTGTCCTTCCATTTCTGTCTCTGGTGTTCCATGCTCTGCTCCGAGCTGTGGGATGCTGACCTGTATGGACAGCACCATGGGCCTCCATGGCCTCTGGCATCTAACTGGGTTCGATCAATGAGGAACAGAAGCAGGAGCTCTGAGACATGGGGTGGTAGGAGGGTTTGCTCTTCTAGGAGTCCCCTGTGAGGTCATGGGGTGGCCTTGACCCTATCTCAGGCTGCAGATCCTCTCCAGTAGCCCTCTCATTACGGTGAGTGAGCCTCTGTTTCCAAACGGAAGCCTCACAGTTACCACATTCTTGCAGGGTAACATTATTATCCCATTTTACAGATATCAGAAGGAGTGAATAATTAGGCTATAGGACCATTAAGCTAGTAAGCAGGGAGGCTTGGAGTCCACAGGCCCCACAAGGATTGAACCTCCTGACTCCAGTCTCATGAACCCTTGGCTCTACCCACTGGGATCCAGCACCGAGTGTTACTGTCAGTACAGACATTGCAGTGACTCATTTGCATTTAAAGCAATTCTGCTTGCTGCCTGTAACATATCATTGTGCGCCCTGGCTCTGACTATAGTCAGCTGCTCATCCAACTTTGGACTGAGTATCTATCTAGGAAAGTGACTTTCAGACACACAGATACACAGACACACAGCTCTACCACTCAGATGACGAATGCCAGATAGGGCAACTTGGGCTGGCAGAGCTACATGGGCCATGGCCTCCAGGGCTGCCACATTCACTCAGCTGTAGACAAGGTCAAGGGGAAATGGAAGGAAATAATGCAGTCTGGTTCAGCAGGTGTTGACTGAGTGCCTGCCATGTGCTGGGTGCGAGGCGGTGTCTGGGAACGGGAGGGGAAGGACAGAAGGGGGAGCCCTGGCCTGGAGTCATCTGGGTTTGGTTCTTAGTCTGGTTTCTGCCACTGACCAGCTGCATGGCCTTGGACAAGCCTGGCAATTTCTTTAAACCTCAGCTTGCCTATCTGGAAAATGGGGTTGATTACCTAGTTTGGAGGGCAATAGAGAGGTCTTGATAAATGACTCATTTAAAACCACCTATAGGGTCCAAGAGTGACTCATTTAGGGCCACTAGCTGTTGCTGTTGCTTTACTGTTACTGTTAAAGCCAGCAGGGCACGGCAGGTGCGGGGAGGTGCCCCTGGTTCCGACTCCTGCTCCCACCCCCTTTACATCCTAGCAGTGTGATTCTGGGTAAGTCATGTGACTGATCAAGACCCTCTGCCTACTCATCTGGACATGGGTAGTAATGAGTGGCCCTTTGCAAGGCTGTGGGACTAGGTAAGGTAATGTTGGTATATGAGAAGTAACAAACACTTCTTAGGTGACTATAAGTCCTTCTTGTCTGGAGGGCTCCTACTCACTGGCTGAGACAGTACTGTGCCACCTCCCCCAGGAAGCCTTCACTGACCCTACCCCCATCTCAAGGGTTTGATTTTTCCTTTATGTTCCCACAATTCCTGCTCTGGGAGGGTCTCTTTTCAAACAGACTTGAGTCCCTTTTAAGATCTGTATTTCCAGTCCTCTGTGGGGGATCTGCTCAGTGTTTGTGACATGAGTACCAGATACGTGAGGGAAAGGCCGAAGGTGTGCTGGGTGGGCGCCCCAGGTGCTTCCTCCAGGCTGGAGACAGAGGCTGCCCTGGACTGGCCCTCTCCTCGTGAGCCTTCCTGGAAGGGCCACGATGACAGAGACGTGTCTATCTGGACCTCCACTAAAGATCTGGCCCCATTCCTGACCCTCTGTTAGCCAGAGTCTGGGTGGGAGCTCAAAAGCACTCCCTGTGTTTCACAAGAGGATACTCAGTGTAGGGAGTTGTCTGTAGGTAGAGGCGGAGCTGAGATGCAAATGGGGGCAGCCCAGAGCTCACCACAGCAGGAGGCCACGACCATCCCCAGGACTAGCAGAGGATGCAAGACAGAAGTGCCGGGGCCCAGGAGCCCAGGAGCTGGGCCGCCTGCAATGGGTGGGACTCTGGCAGCCTGCTGGATAGGGCTGGAGCCACAGGTGGGACGTGGGCACACCAGGGCTGCTGCCAAGGAAGACAGAGAGATGTGCGGCCTCTCCCTGCCCTCCACGTTCCCACCTTCCAGCAACACCTCCCTCTCAGGGGTCAGCTGGCTCTCCTCTCTGCTTCACATATGCACACACACAAGACACACACCCACAGGCACACACCACACAGAGGCACACAAAGGCACACAAGCTCACACAGAGACACGCAGACACACACATTCATATACAGAGAAACACTCCTACTTACAGACACTCAGCTCACCCACAGACATACTCACAGGACACCCACTCTCACATACAGACACACAGTCACACTCACAGATGCACACACTCGCACAGACAGACATAGATTCACACAGACACACACACACATCAGCAATGCAAAGCAGAACGGGGAAGGACTGGAAGAGGTCTGAGGGCAGACAGGTAAATGACTAACACAAGGCTCAATACATACTTGTTGAACCAATGAATCATCTGGTGCCGCCTGGGTTAGGAGGAATTCAGAAGCACGTCACTGCATTTTATAGTTTGTCTATAAAAGCACATGGCAGTCAGAGGGGGCAAGGTGGATCTCTGAGCCACTTAAGTCAAGGCCCTGGAGCTCCTGGCCAAGGTCCTGAGAAGCCTGACTTGTGTCAGCCAAGCCCTGATGTCCATCGGGCCCCAGAGGCCATGCTGCCCCCTTGGGAACTGTCTCACTTTTGTGGCCACCCACCTGTCTGGTCTCCCGCTGCACTGTGGCCCTTCCTCAATAGTCTCTGGAACACTGAAGTGGGTCTTTCTAACTGGGTGCCTTGATCCCAGACTCTCCCTGCTCTGGTCTGTCTTACCCTTGGCGATAGATAAATCATCCAAAGCTCAGCTCTGAACTGGTCACCTCCTTGATCAAAACTTTTGATAGCTTCCTCTTGCCAACAGAATAAAGTCCAACTTCCTAAGTTTGATCACAAACCACCAACAATCTAGCTCCCACCTTATTTTCTACTATTCCCATGATAATGTCTCTGCTCCCCTCAAACTCAACTGCTACACACTGTCTGCTTCCAGCTGCTACACCTCGGCTTGTGCTGCTTTCTCTGACCACAGGCCCATCTTCCCGATCTTTGATTAAAAATTCTACCTGTGCTTGAAGCTTTGGTTCACATCGCGTTTTGCATTCCTGATGGAAGAAGCGATTCCCCCCGCCCCCCACCTCTGAATCCCTGCAGCATTTTATCTCAACTTATGACACTTAGACTTTCCATTTTGCCCTGGAATTATTGATGTGAACAGCTTATCTTCCTGCTAAAGTTTTAGAGGGTAGAGACCAAGGCATTTTTGGTCGGATGGTTTCCACAGCATCCAGCATACATTAGGCACTTTAAAATCTTGGTCGCATACATGTAAATATGGCTGTACCTTCAAATGAATGAATGGATGGGCAAATAGACACACATCCAAATGAATGAGTGGGTGAATAAACAAGACTGACTGTTGTCCTGGGACCATGCAGAGCAGGCTACTTCAGCCAGCCGGAAAGAGACTGCAGCTTGGTAGATTATCAACTTAGATTATGCTAGTTACATGCTTTGGGGAGGAGCCAGACCACCCTGGATATGTTCTGGGAAGACCACCTTCTGGGGAACAGGCTGGGGGACAGCCCCATATCCTGAGCTTGCTGCAGCCAACCCCAGAACCCAGCTTCCCGACCCGTGAAGACCCTTACATCAATGTAGTTGGCATTGATGTAGTCGGAGTGTGGGTCTCCATCCAGCACCAGCAGCCGCACTCGGGAATGGTCATCTGCAGAAAGAGCAGAAAACAAGGGGGTGGGTGACAGGAGGCCTGTGAGCGAGGAGCCAGCACTGCCCTCCTTCAGAGCTACCACTTAGTAACTACCACTGGCATTTGAGCATCTGCCATTGAGCTACATGGGATGCCACTTTTCTTAGTTATCATGGGGAGGAAGCAAGTAGAGAGACTAGGTGGGAGGTCTAAACTGTTCCTTTAGGTGGGTGGGAGCATGGGGAGTGAAGTCGGGGAGGAGTTTGAAGTTAACCTTTATGGAGTTCAAGGTGGGTGCCAGAGACTTTGCATACATTATCTCACTCAATCACGTATTCCTCAAAATAGCTCTATCAATGGTTATAAAATACTATAATGATGGAGTACTTCTATTCTTTCTATTCCACAGAAGGAGAAAGTGGGGTTCAGAAATGTTAAGCAAATTTCCAACATTACAAAGCCTGTAAATGGTAGAGCTGGGCCTCTGTCTGTCTGACCCTGAACGCCTGCTCTGTCCACACTATGTGCTGTCTCTGGATCTCTAGCATCTCATAGATACTGCTTCTGGAGTCAGGGTGAATGGCTGGTCCCCAATCCTGCAGTGTCCCAGCCCCAGAGAATGGAACTTCCTGGGACACATCCCACCGAGCAGTGATTCAGACAAGGTCCGGCATGTGAGTCTGAGTCCGGCATGTGAGTCTGAGCTCAAGCTGTCAAGCTTTGTTCTAGTGGTTATGAAAACTATAAGCTGTGAGAAAGTGAAAGTGCATATTGTGCTTTCACTCATTGGTCTCACGAATGACTTTTCATTTCAAAAATCTTCTATATTTATTGAGTTATGCCTGCCCTTTGGGTCTATAGCTTTGGAAATGGAGATGCTGGTTTCAACTGTTCAAAGGGAATTTTCTTTAATAAACAATGAAATTTAAAATCGGAAAGTAAAAACAATTAAAAAGAAAACAAAAACAAACTTCTTTCTTTCAGTTAAATATTCTTAAAGATGAAAGGTGCCTCCTACCACCAGGTGATGGCGTTTGCCAATATCTCCTCTTTTCTTTATGAGGAACACATTTCCTGACCACCTACTATGTACAGGGTTGGTGAAGGGACTATGAAAGCGTTAGCAAAATGATACTCAAACTTTAGGAGTTTGTCAATGTTGTGGGGGAGACATACTATGCATACAAGTGGAACTTTAAGGTCTAGAATGTGGAGAATAGCAGGCTTTGTGCAATGATACATGAATGAAGAACTAAGAGTGAGCAAGTCTTGACCAATGGATGATGAGGAAGGGTGTGTCCAACTGAGGGAGCATCAAGAATGAAGGCAGAGATCCCGAAAAGGCAAGAACACTGAAGGAGCAGAAGACAGTTCCTGTCTTGTGAACACAGAGACGGAAGGATCAGCCATGGAAGAGCAGACAAGAAGAGCAAGGCAGGCGGCTGGGTCACAGAGGGCTCTTTATGCCCTGTCAACGCACTTAGATGCAAATAACCACACTTGGCTCTGCAGGGCATCGAAATGCAGACTCTTATTTTCTGAGATGGTGAAACACTATTTTAGTATGAAAGACCAAGATTCATTCCCACAGGGGCTAACCTGTGGCAAGTAGAATACACTGGTGATATGATAAACAGAGCCGAGGGTCAGATCGGGGTTCATATCTTAGTTCCATCCCTTAGGGAGTCAACTGCCCTCTCTTAAAGCCTTGAGTTCCTTAGCAAAATGGAGCCAATACTATACAGTTCACAGAATGTTGGGACGATTAAATGAAAAAATGCAGGCATGCAAATTGTGAGGACATTAAAAGAATGAAAAGACAAAATACAGACTGGGAGAAAATATTTGCAGAAGACGTATCTGATAAGGGACATGTAATAACATACAAAGAACTCTTAAAACAACATAATAACAACACACAAAGAACTCTTACAACTCAACAGTAAGAAAACGAGACCCAGTTAGAAAATGGGCAAAAGTTCTGGACGGACACCTCACCTAAAGAAGATACACAGATGGCAAATAAGCACTGAAAAGATGTTGACCATCATGTGTCATTAAGGAATTGAAAAGCAAAACAATGAGATATTTAAACACACCTACTAGAATAGCCAAAATCCAGAACACAGACAGCACCAAATGCTGGTAAGGATGTGGAGCAATAGGCACTCTCATGCATTGCTGGTGGGAAAGCAAAATGGTACAGCTACTTTGGAAGACATCTTGGCAGATTCTTCCCAAACTAAACATACACTTATATGATCCAGTAATTGCTGTCTCTGGTATTTACCCAAATGAGTTGAAAACTGACCACACAAAAACCTGTACTTGAATGTTTACAGCAGTTTTACTCACAAATGCTAAAACTTAGAAAAAAAAAGATGTTCTTCAATAGATGAATGGATAAACAAAGTGTGGTATATCTACAGAATGGAATATTATTCAGTGATATAAATAAGTGAGTTATCAAGCCATGAAAAGACATGGAAGAAACTTAAATAAATTCTGCTAAGGGAAAAAAGCCAGTCTGAAAAGGCTTCATAGTGTATGATTCCAACTCTACAACATTCTGGAAGAGGCGGAACTATGAACACAGTAAGAAGGTCAGTGGTTGCCAGGGACTTGTGGGGAAGGATGAATAGGTGGAGCACACAGGAGTTTCAGGACAGCAAAACTTTCTGTATGATACTGCAGTGGTGGACATGTGTCCTTGTATATTTTTCAAATCCTATGTAACTTCAAAATACAAAGAGTAGACTCTAATGTATACTGTGGACTTTAGCTAATAATGAGGGATCAATACTAGTTCATCAATTATAACAACTGTATCACACTAATACAGGATATTAATAATAGGGGAAACTGAATGTGGGTGGGAGGGAGAGATATCCCTGTATGGGAACACCCTGGATATTCTGTTCAATTTTTTGAAACCTAAAACTGCTCTTAAAAAAAAAAAAAACAGTGCTCACACAGTGTCTGGTACACAGCAGGTGCTTAATAAATGGCTGTTCTTGTCTGGATGTGAGGCAGGCAGTGAGCTGATGGCAGAGACACTTAGAAACACTCTGTGCTCCTCATTCGCCCTCCTGTGCTAAGTGTAAACCCATCTTTAGAGGCACAGAGCTATTGTGTGTACTCTTTAAAAGGGCAGGTTTCAGCCAGAGGTCCCCCAAGAAGGCATCTCAAGACTTAGAAACACTCTGTGCTCCTCATTCGCCCTCCTGTGCTAAGTGTAAACCCATCTTTAGAGGCACAGAGCTATTGTGTGTACTCTTTAAAAGGGCAGGTTTCAGCCAGAGGTCCCCCAAGAAGGCATCTCAAGAAATAGCGGTGACTTCATGGTTTGTTTATTCCTTCTCGGAGATGCTAATATCATTCTGTGTCCCTTTCTTCTTCTAACTTTATATAATTAGAAGGAAAACAAATTGTGTTTATCCATACACACATGGAGAAAGATGGGGCAGCAGGGGATGTGAAGGAGTTTATACAAGGTAATTTACAAGCAGCCCAGGACGTTCATCATGCTCTGTCTACATTTTGCAAGCTGGAGAAACATCTAATTTGGTACTCCTCGTTTGATATTCAAGACAAGGAGAGGCATTAAGAAGAGTCATATAGAGGAGAAGAGAACTCCTCAGTGGTGTGGAAGAAGGGGCAGGAGCCTGGCTGAGGCGGGAAACGGGCAAGACCTGGCTTGCGGGGAGGACGGAACCAGAGGCAGTAGCTCCCGAACACAACTCCAGGGGAACAGAAATGTCGTTCTCTGGCATCAATCTGCTCCCTGCAGGATAACGACAAAGACCAGTGGTATGTTGGAAAATGTTTTAAAAATGGCTCTCCAGAGCAAAGAAAAGCCCTGACATAGAATGTCTGCTGATTTCTGCAGTATAAATACTCTTACCAGGACTGACTTCAAACTACCAACGTGGCATCAGCTTGCTCACAAAATTCCTGAAAATCTAACTATCTGTTCTTGCAAGGTACTGCGAATCAGCTCAGGACACCACGGACAGAGAAAACAGCACTGCCAGACCCCACAATGCCTTGCATGATCTGATGGTGTGGGATCTGCCTCCCCGTCCAACCTCATGCTCCCCTCCCAACACACTGTCCTGATAACTGTGCTCTTTTTTCAGTTGCTCAAATGTACAATGTCTGTACTGAGCAGCGGCCCTTGCACGTGGTATAGGGGAACAACCCCAACCCCACAAGCCTGGCAATGCCTCATTCTTCAGCTCTCAGCAATATGTTCCTTCCTCAGGAAGCCTCCTTTGATTTCCCTGTACAGATTCTGAGCACTCCCTACACTTCTGTTCAGAGCATTTAGAGCAGTTGTATTTCTGTGACTGTCTGATTAACCCCTCCACACCCTACTTAAGGAAGGGCACTCTATTTACTGAACTCTACAGTGTGTGGCACACAGCAGGCACTCAATAGTTATCTGTCCAATAAATGAATTCATATTTGTATTCAAAATTCTGAGAACTAGAAAGGGCAGGGCTCCCTACTTACAGCCATACAGCTGGCCTGAGACCCAAGGCTCTTTTGTCTACACAAGGCTGGCAGAGTGGGCATGGAGTCTATTCTTCTATCGTTCCTCTCTCCATAGCTGGTTCCTTATGTCCCCTGCAGATTCAGCCTGTCCTGTCCCAAGATTGGCCACCAATTCTTGCATTTAGCAGAAGAGAGGTAAGTACCAGGTAGGTGCAGGAGGCAGGTCTGTCACACACAAATCTCACCTGGGGCCAGTTAGTTACCTTCCCAGAGACTCAGTTTACCCAACTGTAATATCAAAATCATATCTACCTTTGCAGACTTGCTGCAAGGATTCAAAGAGGTAAGATATGAGAGCACCTGGTGTGTTGTAAGAAATAAACATAAATATGTAAATTAAGTTTTATTAGTATTCCAGATCAGTGGTTCTCAAAATGCAGTCCCTTGGCCAGCAGCATCGGCAATGCCTGGGAACTTGTTAGAAATGCACATTTTTGAGTCCCAGCCCAGATCCTCTGAAT